AGCCCAAGCTTCCTGTTTCCCCCGCTCATCAATATAAGCCCATGTTCCACTAGACCAAACTCAGCTCAGACACCCCCAGCCCAAGCCTTCTAAGCCAGAATTCAATAAGCCCAACCCATCACAAATCAATTTTAGCCCGAAAATCTAAACCCAACTCTAGCCAATGGCCCGAGATTCACTTCGGCTTCTCCACTGCTCGTCCATATTCACCGCCGGGTACCCTTATCGCCTACGGTCGAAACCGATGATCAACGACATCACCAAATGACACCATCGCCGCATGACACCATCTCAAAACATCAACCACCACCCTCGGCCACCATAAGCTACTTTTGGGCATCAAACAGCAGCGCTTCGACCACCATCTCCGTTATTATTCATTTCACAAATCACATTCACGACCACGCTCAACAGCAGTAGATAGACATTGAGATGTGTGATAGACAAACTGTGGTGAATGAGTGGGGAGGTTGACATTCGAGCTGAGATTTAACACCATTTTGGACGTCTCACACCGGCAATTACCATCAATAGTCATGGAAACATGTCAAAACACAAAGCAAGACACAACCGAGTAAGGGGTGTGCAGATTCAATGATAATAGCAAAGGTATTATACTTGAATCCGGACTCAAACGTTGGCAAAATGGGTAGTTTATATCAAAACACCCTTGGCTCGCATAGAATTAGGAGCTATTCATGTTGTAATTATGGGTTATGGATCAACGAAAGTAAGCAAAATGAGATACGTTTATTTAATTCACGTATCTCTTGAATCATGAATCTCGTAAATTCATGTATCTCTTGAATTCATAAATCATATCTCTTGAGAATTTATGTATCTCTTGCATTCATGAATCTATTTAATTCATGTATCTCTTGAATTCATGAATCGATTTAATTCGTGTATCTCTTCCGTACATGAACTTTTAAACTCTATAAATTGATTTGAAATCTTCTTCATTCGAGAAGTAGAAATGCCTCTCATCTATTCGCTTCAATTTTCTCTAAGTGCGCTGGTTTCGAGAAGTGTTCGACAAAGTCTTATTTACATAATGCTAATTCAAACGGGTTCAAGGTGTTGAACAGGTTAAGACATTGGGGCTTGGTTTTGTGGCATCAAATGTTGTGGGCCTTCGGGTCGAGACCATCTATGGTGGTGTGGGTACTAGTCGCATAGCTAATATACCTGGGACTGTTTGTCATAATAGTACAGGCAAAATGACATATGGTTCCGTTTTTTGATGGATTGTTTAAAAGAACTCTAAAGAATATTTGGATGCGGAGTTAATTCACACGAGTTTGTAACCCTAGTGAGGGCAACAAGGTGATGGGACATGGGCTCGGATCCAATGGGCTGAGCTTGTCGTGGCTCTTTACTGGTGCGCCCATTCCAAATTGGGAGTTGTTTCATGTGGTTTAGGCGAACGCTCGGGCTTTGTGTACACTAGAGCGGAAGACTTGAGGGCGAAGGCTTGGACTTCATGTGCAATAGAGTGAAGGGCTTGAGGGCAAAAACCTCTTGCTCTCGACAATAGAATGACAATGGGTCAGTGCTGCTCAAGCCCGCCATGGCCAATGGGCCGAGTCCTACTAAACCAAGAAGGTTACCATCCAACAAATTTTGAAAGTGTGGGGCTAACTAGCCAAGGTGGTGATTTATCCTCCTAAACAAACTCGGTTGGGACTTAAAACAGTAGATTGTACATTCATCGTGTATGCTCAAAATAGTAGCGCATGCAGATATATTAGATGGATGTGAAAACTGCAATGGTGGCCTCAACGAAGAGATTTATATGGAACAACATGAAGGATTCAAGGTCAAAGGACAAGAACACCAAGTGGATAGACTTGTTAAATCATTATATGCACTTAACAAGCTCCTAAAAAATGGCATGAGAAGTTTGACCGTGCGATAATCCAAAATGGATATAAAATCAATGAGAGTGACAAATGTGTGTACACTAAATTCATGTGAGTTGGATGTGCACTTATTTGTCTATATGTCGATGACTTGCTAATTTATGGAGATAACACCAAGGTTATCAAAATCACCAAGATTGTACTCAAGAATAACTTTGAGATGAAAGAATTAGGTGTTTGGGATGTTATACTCGGCATCAAAATTCTAAGGAATTCAGATGGTTTAAGTTTAACACAATCTCATTACATTGAAAAGGCAATCGAGAGTCTAGCAAAAAAAAGAAAAGGTAATTGAGAGGTTTAAAGAGTTCAACATTAAAGATGTGAATAATACTTTTCCTTCACACATAACTTTAAGAAAGAATATTGAAAACAATATTAGGCAGCTAGAGCACTCTCATGTGATCGGTAGCATCATGAACTACACTAGATCGGATATTGCGTACTCAGTAGAAAAACTGAGTTGGTATACAAGTAATCCTGGTCATGAGCATTTGAATGCTCTTTTGAGAGTGTTGGGTTATTTGCAACAGCTATTTCGGAGGGTTATAGTGATGTCAACTGGATTTCGGATTTCGATGAATTGAAATCGACTAGTGGATATGTGTTCACGCTAAGAGGTAACTTAGTCTTATGGAAATCCTCAAAGCAAACACTAGTAGTACGCTCAGCGATGGAATCAAAGTTTGTTTGCTTTGAATAAAGCTGCTGAAAAAGTAAAGTGGGTTCAACAGTTTTTGGAGGATGGTCCGTTGTGGCCAAAACCTATGCCTCCAATATGCATTCACTATGACAGTTAATCAACGATTGTAAGGGCATATAACGTGATATGTAACGGTAAGTCAAGACACATTCGTCGTAAACATAATACCGTAAGGCAATTGCTCTCGTATGAAATAATTTCTTTGGACTTTGTGAAGTCAAAGGAAAACATTGCGGATCCGCTCACAAAAAGTTTGTTGAGAAATCAGATAAACCGCGCATCAAGGGGAATGGAGTTAAAAGCCTTAATTCAATAAAAAGGTTCCAAGGTGGAAACCTAACCTAGTGATTGGAGATCCTATGGGCTAGGTTCAATAGGACAACGCAAATTTTGAAAACTCTAGTATGCGCACTTTCTCCCACTCCTATAATGCAACAATGCTTCCAACAGCTTTTTAAGGGTATGTTATGCGTTTAATGATTCCTATAGCTAGGAATTCAACATCCTAGTAAGCTTTGGTAGGATACCTTTCATAAGAATGCACCTATATTCGTGGAGCTGGCCGACTCCATGAAAATCTTTAAAGGCTAGATTTTTAAAAGCATGTATGAATCCCGAGAAATTCATGGCCGAAGGAATAAACACAACCGAGAACTAATCTCAATTCAAAGATACCTTTGTGTGAGTTCTATTGTTTGGGCTTACACCAACAAGTAGCGATTCAAGACTTAGTCCATTAACTGGTTAAGTTTGTCCGATAGGCTTTGACTAAAGAAGGTTCAAGGCGAGAGCTATCTATCTTGATGCAGTGCACTTCCATAGGTACATTTAAAACTCTTCGAGTCAAAATATTTTGTTGATCCATTAATGTGGCGATTATTATCATTATGGGTTAATGGATTAACAAAAGTGAGCAAAATGAGATACATTTATATAATTCATGCATCTCTTGAATTCATGTATCTCGTGAAGTCGTGAATATATTAAATTCATATCTCGAGAATTCATGTATTCTTCAATTCATGAATCTATTTAATTCATGTATCTCTTGAATTCATGAATTGATTTAATTCGTGTATCTCTTGAATCCATGTATCTCTTGAGTATATGAACTTTCAAACTCTATAAATTGATTCGAAATCTTCTTCATTCATGAAGCAGAAACGCCTATCGTCTTTTCACTTCAATATTCTTTCAATGTGCAGATTTCAAGAAGTGTTCAACAAAGTACTGTTTGCATAGTGTCAATTCAAACGGGTTTAAGGTATTATATCTTGGGAGGCATAGTTCATGAAGTTGCTTAGTACCATTGGCAAGAACTAATTGCTTTAAGGAGACTCGATTAGCCGTACCTCACATCCTATTTATTTGTTGTTATCACTTTTTCAGAGTTATTATTTTTCTAATTACAACAAACAGTATTACGTATTTTTCCTCAAATATGTAAATATTCTTTACATCATTATATTTAACAATTCAACAATCATGTCTATGTGGCATTTCATCAAACGGCTTATGTGCAACAGAAGGATTAAACTGGCCAAGTAACTGAAGTAGGCTTTATCTAAAAAAAACATTGATGCACGAAAAGCATCATTGATCATCGACAACAACCCACATTCTGAGTTTCATACATGCTTCATCAGTAGCACTCGACCTAGGATCATATCGAGAATAGAGGCAGAAGAGGGAATATGATGTTACGTGTAAGCTGAGCGTGACGAGGCTGCAACGGGCGACTACGTCGAGCCCGGAAGATTCAAGGATCGTCGCGGTCTCTTGCAGATGTCGCGAATCCTTCTAGAAGGACCTTTGCTGAGCTGCTCTCATTCTCTCACGCACTCCTGTCTTGCGGATGTCGCGGTCTCATGTTAGCTCTCCTGCGCGTCAAACCTTACATCCACTTGGCAACAAATATGGTCAAACCGAATAAAAAAACAATTGAAATTCAAATAAGGAATGCGAGAGAGAGAGGAGTTTTCGTTGTAAAGTGAGGATAATATATTCAATTGCTCGCAATGCGTGTGAATGTCAGAAAAATTTGAGGGTTTCCAATTTCTTTTTTCCAACGTAAGACATGCCTCTGATGTGGAACAATTGTTAGGTGCTTCGGAATGTGCTCCTTGAAATCCACATTTATACTAGAAGACAAAGCATATTCACATTTCACCCAATACTTTGTCCATCCAAACTCAGATGATTAATCACATTAATTGCTAATCCTTTTAGTTCCACCAACCATCCAGACACAGTTCTTATTATTGAAGATGTTAAATAATAATATTTTCGAAGAATTTTCCTAACACCGACCGAAGTTAACAAATTTAATCCCGATTTCACAAGAGAAAGTGCATTCATGAAGCAAAAAGATAATCTTTGCCTCGAGCTATGCTATGGTCAAAGAATACAAAGATTTTTCTTTTTTGGGTCGAACAGATTGCTTTCATTTCTTCAAGTTCAATTTCCGAACAACAAAGAAGGGCTTATGAACAAAAGACAGCCCAAAAGAGTTGAGGTGAGTTAGACAACCAGTTACAAGGGAGAGCTTCAATTCTGCTAACCGATTGGTCTCACAGAGAAAGCCTATCAGAGATGGGTCAGACGAGATCTGCATTTGCAATAAGGGCCCGCAAATCCCACCCGGGTTGATCAGCGCCCCAGAGAAAGCCTATCAGAGATGGAGCACCTACGTCTTTAGTCTAGACAAGAGGAGTAGTATCGAGCCTTATAGAAGCACAATAATGTACAAATGCGCCTAATTACAGTGGATCCACGTATGATTTAGCCTCAAATAGTGACACCATCTTAGAACAATCATAATAACTATGATGGATAACACGTGGCAAGTCTTCTTTTAAATGCACACAACCCCTTTTGAGCGATTAACAGCGTATTCTTCAAATATATAGTTTTTTGCTTATGGTTCATAAAAAATCACCGGTGAAGGCCACGCAACCTCACCATGAGACCATCCATGAAGAAAGATATCGCTCACAGCGCCACTCACCGGGCATGCAATTCAGTAACCGACATATCACTTGTCGACGAAGACATAGTTTTGCTGGTGAATTGGTCAGATTCAAGCTCGTTCATTGGGATGCTCAGTCCGCGCGACCTACTTCGGATGAAGAAGGCTGGATGTTGAGGCAATGGCGGGTTAAAGTAATCGCTACTGAGCATGAGAACTACGGTGGTCATGGTGGGTCTAATAGCTGGATCTTCCTGAATGCATAGTAAGCCAATGTGTAGGCATCGAATCACTTCATCTCTTGAATATGAATCCACGATAGCAGGGTGCAACACTTCCAAGGGCGTGCCGTCTCTCCATTGATTCCACACCTGCAAGAATAATTCCGGAAAATCTTCACAAAATTGTGGCATTAATTCAACGACTCATCATGCAAGACATCTGAATCTTGCAAAAAATCATAAATGACCAAGGAACAGAATAATATGCATGAGTGTTTCTGCAGGCTAAAAAGGACTAAGTTCTTACAAAGGAATATCAAATATCACTCGACCAAAATCACAAAGAGTGTGGCGTATATATTTGCTGCAGTAGCACGGTGGAACTTACATAAATTGCAAGATATTCACCCCCACCCAATTGGTGGTAGAAGTTATTCTTCTTGCCACAAATGATCTCTAGAAGTAGTATGCCGAAACTATAAACATCGGATTTCACTGAGAACTGTCCATGCATTGCATATTCTGGAGACATGTAACCATTGCAAATCTGAACATTAGTCATATGTATATTGCATTGCGTATTTAGATGCAGATCAATTAGCATCTTTAAATAGATCAAATGAGCAAGTCTGGTATCGAATAACAAAGTCATCTATTCAAAACCTAAGACTTACAAAGTCCCCATGATTTTATTTGTGCTGGCCTGAGTTTGATCGACTCCAAAAATCCTTGCCAGGCCAAAATCTAAAATCTTTGTGTTCATTTCATTGTCTAACAAGATATTGCTACATTTTAGGTCACGGTGGATGATCCGGAGACGAGAATCTTTGTGTAGATAAAGCATTCCTCGAGTGATCCCAGATACTATTTTATAACGTAATGACCAATTCAATTGACCACTTTTTTGGGGATCTGCATCGTTGCACCAAAACTCATTATGTGCTAGCATGTGGCACCTATTCAAAAACTCAAGGCGAATATATTTACTCTCATCAATCAAATTGTAGCTTAACAAAAATCTATAATAAGATGAAAGAACAGAAAAGGTCTTAATTTCAAGGTTCCATAGCTAGTGAAAGCTCGAAGATTTGATTTCAAGCAAAATATACATTCTGCACATAAGAAGGTGAAACTGCAACATACCAAATAATCAAGGCTTTTATTTGGCACAAACTCATAGGCCAGTAGCTTTTTGTCTCCCTCCAAGCAAAATCCGAGTAGTCGTACAAGGTTTCTGTGTTGAAGCTTCGCAACTAATAGAACTTCATTCTTGAATTCTTCGTCACCCTGTCTTGAGCTTTGAGATAGCCTCTTCACCGCAATTTGTTGTCCATTAGGAAGGCTACCCTAAAGTGTTTTGCATTTATCGTTTAATTCCTTATCACAACTTCTTAAAAACTTACATAAAAAGTGTTACGTGTTTCTTTCATTTTCGGCACCATTATGTTCAATTCACATGTAAAGCATTCTTGATTGTTTCTAACTATATGTAATACGTACCTGGAAAACTTCACCAAATCCACCTTCACCCAACTTGTTTTCCGGAGAGAAATCATTTGTCGCGGCTTGTATTGTAGCCAAGTCAAATTTCAAGGACTCCACGGTGGTAAGTTCATTCGCACCTGCATTACCAAAAAAACGCAATTTGATTATCAAATTATATTGACATTGGCTCCTAGTGGCGTTTACACGGTTGCCAGTGCTTGGGAACATTATCACAATGAAGAGCACCAGATCAGGCTCGCATGGTTGTCCCCTTACCCCAATGAAATCTTTCCCCTCTTGATTAGTCATGAAGAAAAAAATTAAAATATCATCAATACTATCGGTAACAAAGCAATGAGATGAATCTCGTATCGTGATCACTCCTTCATGCTGAAGGCAATGCTAGGTCTGTTAATTGCGGTGCAGATGCTACCTATGCTTGGAGGGAATCGCTAAACGTTAGGAGCATTTTGAGGCCTCATTCTGTGGTTGGTCATGTCGAATCTATATCCCTCTGGCATGACTCATGGCATCCTAATGGGATCTTGCTGGATGTATACCCGGGGAGAGTAGTTTATGATTCTGCTCTTTTGTGAACTCCAAAAGCAGCTGATATGATTTGTGCTCTGAGTGGAAAAGGCCCAATACAAGGTCTGATAGACTTGGTATCAATCCAGGCAGCTGTTTGTGGTGTGATTTGTCCAAAGTCTTCTTTGGACGACCAAGATACTCGCACTGCTGCTTCTTGTGACATTCTTACCTCTGCTTCAACTTGGGAGATTGTGAGGAAAAGAGGCATAAGAGTTTAATGGTATCAGCTGATTTGATTTTCATCTAATTTGCTGAGGTTTGGATTCATATTTTGGTTGGCGATACAAGATAAACTGCCTATATTTCACGGAATTGACGGATAGTCTTCTAATCAAGGCCAAACTCTCTGTTTTTTGCGTCATGAAAGCACTGAGATTAGATCCCATTTGTTCTTTGGGTGCAGTTTATCTAAGCAAGTCTAGAAGAGTGCCCTTCAGCTTTGTTTTCCTAATAATGATATTGGTGATTGGGAGTTTGAATTGTCCTGATGCAGCAGGCTATGAAAGGAAGAGATTTTCATGGGTGTTTGGTAAATTTTTTGTTGAATTGCTGCATCTATTTACCTAGAAGGCCATAAATGAGCTGTTACATTTCCAAAGTATTCCTCTTCTTGATGGCATTATGATTGCTTGTGCAGTCGAGTACAGTTTTGATTGTTTGAAGAGCATGAAGAATCGGATCTTTGTCCTTGATCTTTTCCATTATATATTATATGTTACATTTATATCAAACGGACTCTTAATTTGTATGATTAATATATCTGATTCCTTACAAAAAATAAAGAAGTTTCATAATATGCTCAATTATATGATGTAAATAGTTTACGAAAAAATAAAGGCAAATAGTCAATTTACCACTCTTTCCTCGGACGACTTCATATGTCTTCTTTCCCTTTCTTCGAAGCAAACAACGAGTGAGAAAGAGAAGTACCATAACACCTCAAACGGAATAGGTGATGGCAATGGTTATCGCAGTAGGTTTGTTGCTTTTCCCCGCCCAAAAAGTTAAGAATTACATTAACCAAATAGGAAAGTTTATGATTGAACTGGTGGCTATACAATAAATTTATGACTCTTTGGATATATTTCCCTCAAATGTTCTTATCCTTTCATTAATTGTTATTTTCCCTAATTAGAAATGTCCCAAACATACCAACTATAGTTGTTGCAACCTACCCGTACCAATCGAGGGGGGAGAATGTATGTATAGGTATAAGTCTAAAGGTATTTGTCAATGGACATGAACATTGTTGGTTTGTTCGAAGGACAAACCAAAAGGCTTATCTATCCAAGGACGAAGGTGCTCCCAAGCCTCATACCTCGTGAGACGTGGGTTTTTCTAATCTATGTGTTCATTAGGAGTTACCACTAGCCATTGTTAAGGGTCGGCTAGAAACCCTAAAATTGAGACACGAGAGTGTCGTCTCGATACATGCGCAATCAGAGATTCTTAGGGATCGAAGATTTGACTACACTAATTTTTCAACTAATGTACTTTTGGTACCTAAACTTGACTATTTGCTGACCAATACATCAAGGTAGCCTTTCACTAATCATGAATCCTAAATTTCATCCTAACTATTCTAAAAAGGAAAAACAACAATTAATGTATTTAAAGTTCACAATCAAGTGAAATCAAAATGAAAATGCACAAGTAGCGACCTAGTATCGTCTCTAAAAGAAAAAAGCAATCAATAATCCCTAATGTAAAATCCTAAAGGCTTATTCAATTTTGGGATCAAATTTTGTTCAAGCCTAAAGTGTTTATTAAAGAAAAAACTAAACTAAGAGAATTCTACATTTTTTAGCTTTCACTCACATTTTTTATTTTTTCTGAATTTTTTCCGATTTTCTAAATTTTTTATTTCGGGAAAAAGGGACTTCGGACCGGGTCAAGGAACCCGGTCCAATTCGCTTGTCTGACCCGGACCCTGAAGATCCGGATTGGGTCTGAACTCGAATCATCTTTTGGGCTCAATACGAATGAGGCCCAAATTATCAAATTTCGCCTGGCCCAATATTATTTCAGCCCATGTCTATTCTTTTAATCCACAATATTCAACCCGGCCCAGTCTGATCCGACCCAGCTTTCATGATATGCCCATTTTATTTCTTTTCTGATTTTTTTTGTCTCCTTTTTTATTATTCTTTTATTTTCCTATTTCTATTTTTTATTTTTTTTCTGGTCTTCTTCTTCCCGAGACCTGCATTGAGGGAGCTTCTCCACCGAAACATCACCAACACCGTCGGGAATCTATTACCATCGATTCTCTAACCCTCGCCGTCGGCCATCTATTCCGGCCACCGCCGAACTTCCGCTGATGACAACTTACAGCCATCTTCGCCCCTCATCACACACCGGCCATGAAAAAAAAAAAAACAGAGCCTCTTATTCAATCGGTCACCAATCTCCATCTAATCAAACATGCTAAATCTAAACACACATGCACACATATATCAAGGGAATAGAGAACTAACAAGGACGGCCTCTCACTGTAGGCATCGCCGGAAACGAAGGCTGAGAATAGAGACTCGAAACTCATGCGTCCGTGGATGATGGGCACCGAAAATCGCAAATGCGTAACATGAAACAGAGGGTAAAAACGTGGAATCAGACCTAGTTATGCAATCAATGAAGTCATCGTGCATATCTCTAAACATCGGTCACACGAAACTAGTTTCAGCACTTCTCTCAGACAAATTGTCGAGCAGGTGATATACAGTTTAGAATATGAACTTTAGAAGGATAAGCAATATCCTCCGTTCAACCTTCCTCTTGTTTCATCGTTTTTCGTTTGCCAATATCCAGAATTTCACCCTCTAACTGAACGAACAGACTCGATTCCCCCTCTGAAGCCGTTAGTCTTCTATGCTGAGGTGGTGTTACTCTGCACGCGCAACTTTGTGAAAGAGAATCATTTCTCCATGTGATCACCGATGGGCATTGATGATCATTTCTCCATGTGATCAATGGAAAACATTGAGAATGTTTGAGTGATTCGAGTATATTTATAATATCCGTTGTGTCGTTTGATCTATATTAAATTTTGTGTTACTATTCTCGTGGATGTAGGTCACATCGATCGTGTTGACACCTATTTTAATTTGCCCAAAAATTAATTGCACAAAATTTAGGAGTTAATTTTCTTTAATTCCTAAAACAAAAAAAAAATATTTCTATTTAAATGCATTACATATAGAAATTAGGCACATTTGTATTAATAGGGCCTATTAGAACTTTTTTTAAAATATATATTTTTTTTAAATTCGAGTTGGGCCGGGTCGGGGCCGGGTTGACCCGGCCCGTTTCTTTTTTCTTTTCTTTTCCCCGCACGAGCCCCAACCCTTTTTCTTCTTCTTTTCCCCCGTGCGAGCCTAGCCCGCCCTCCTTTTCTTTTTTTTCTTTTCCTCCCCGCGCTACTGGGCCTGGCCCGGCCTAGCTCCCCTTCTCCTTCTCTTCCCCCACGCCGACCCGTCTCTTTCTCTCCCCTGT